TGATGCAAAACACCAACTAACAAGAAGTCAAAGTATCGATTTAAGAGAACTCGCAGTTACAAAAAGCTACATCAAAGCCAATGACAGACTAAAATATTAAGCAGTACTACACATCCAACAGATTCAGTGTAAAGACGCCATAAACACTGTGAAAAATCATGACATTGTGGAATGCCAAAATGAAAGTATCGACAGATGTAGGACCATAAGTGTTCATAAATGTAAACTATTATATATTTAGTTACGTTTTTATTTATTGATAACAATATCCATGATAGTAGCGATTAAGGCAACATTCAATACCGATAAAGACAATGTTAGATTAATAACTATAAGAATAAGTTTATGCAAAGGTACAATGAGTTTACATGGATCTTTTTCAATTATGGGCTCTATAAGCAACATTGTCGTAAATATCAGGATGTGATAACCCGTTTGTAGTAAGGTTTTTACAGCCAAACTTCTAAACTGAATTTTAACTGGAAACGAAATCCCTGACTTTATATTTTACCAGCTATACAAACATTACTTTCATTGAAATCTAAAACGCCAGTTAATACAATAAATACTTTATAAATAATAAAATATGAGATATTTCATGGTGAACATTGATCATAAAAAGCAAGAAGACACCGAAAAGGGCAACATGACACAATTTTGAATAATGGACGGCTACGTAATAAATATTTTTGTGAAATGTTATATCTATTTCCTATAAACTAAAATGATATCTTCCACCTTAATAGGCGTTATTGACCTTTCAAGATTGTTATACATTACAGAGCAAACATCCTTGTCTGTCGCATTGACCAATTGAAAGGTTAGACTAGGTTCACACACGTGTCTCTTTTATGAAACTATCATACTAGCGCCCGATATTTATAGAGACGCCTGCAGATATACTAGACGGTATAATAAAAAAATTGGGTTATTTTTTATGTACTTTAATTATCATTTGACAGAAAAAGTTTAGCGATGTTAATATCTCGTAAATTCAAATTGAATATAGTATTCAAGATAAAAAAAAATGCAAAAAAATGTACAAATTTACGTTAAAAGATCATAGAGCATCTGTAAAAAAAGGGGAGTCCTCATTTCTATATCCTTTAATCTTTTTCGGTCAATTTTTTCTATTCCTTATTTTATTGCCCCTTTTTCTCTATCCTTTATATTTAAGCACCCCATTATTCTCTATTCTTTATTTTTTGGCCTATTTTTCGCTATTCTTTATTTGTTTGACCCTTTATTCTGCACCTTTTGCCATTTATTTTCTATTCTGTAAACCCCATCCAGACCCTTTATTATGACTGATATCTTCCTCAATCTTAGTTTTGTCTAATAAGATTTATCATTACTTTACATCAAAGATAACAATTCCTACTTTTTATTATTTCTTTTAAATCTGTTCATAATGTGTGTAGATATTGACGATCTATAGTTTGCCATTTTGTATAGACACCCGTCCATTCGTTACCCTCTAGATGTATTTTGGTTATTTTTGTAATTGTGTTGCTATCTCATTGACTATATACCACACATATAATTTTATTCATAGTTATGTCAACAGTACAAATAATTAGTTGGTTGTATAAGCTACCGAGTTCGCCTACACTGAGCTGCTAAGAATAGGATTTCAGAACCTGTAATATTTTCTCTTTGTTTCCGGAAAATTCAATATTTGCGTCACATGATCTTTTTCATTTCATTTCATTAATATTATTACTATTATAATAATTTTCATGTTTATAAGAAGCATACATAACAAAAATTTAACAAGTTAACTGAATTTGTAATGCCATCAAGTAAAATACATAAGTGTGTGGTTTTTTTTTGTTTTTTGTTTGTTTGTTTTTTTTTTGGTGGGGGGGGGGGGATGTCCTCTATTCTTTATATTTCTGAACCTCATTATTCTTTATTCTTTTTTACGATTTTTTTCTGTATAAGAATGAGAAGATTTGGTATGATTGCCAATGTGACAGCTACAAGAGTTACAATGAAGGGGTAGTAAGAAATTATAGACCACCATATTCTTTTTCATTTTTAACATTATTCTCTATTCTGTAAACCCAGTACAGCCCAATAAATGTTTTAAAGTCAACGAAGGAAAATATGTAATACGTGCAAAATAAATAACTAGTATAAAAACTTTGATGAAACGAAAGCGGTATGGCTACTTTCCCCTGTATTCAGAGAAGGGTTAAGGGGACCGGGGGCACCCCCTTATTGAGCTACTCACATAGACTTTTTACAAGTCTGACTCCTATTGTTGTCTTATTAGTGCCCACCTTTTCGAATTCATGGAACCTCATCTGGTATTTGTGTCACTCACAGTCAATTTCGAAAAAGATTTGCAACCTTAAACTATTCTAAAATCTAGAAAAAAAAACCATCGTCTCTGAAAGGCATTGGTGTTGAAGATACGTTTGGTAGACTTTTGCATTTTATTCATAAAATGTTTTTGAAAATTTATTTGTTTCTAAACAGAAAAAAGTTTTTTATATCCTCTTGGAGGAATTTTGCTTTTGGTTTGGAATGACTATTCAGAGGTTTTTATTTATATTTTATATTTACCCATTATTTGCAAAAAACAAAAAAAAAACGCCTTTTAGAAGCATTTGTTATTAGTTAGATGTTCAGAAATGTGACACAATTTTTTAAAACATTAGAGAACTATAATAAAGAATATTTGAAAATGGATCATTTAAAAGTTTTTTGAAAATGCTTGTAAAAGAAAGACACAATTGATATTGCTCATACCTCTTCTCTTTGGTTTAATTGAGATCTATTTGTTTTATAATGATGTTTATCATCAGACTGTGTTTTTTTTCAGTCTGTAATGGTTTTAAGTGACCTTTTCAGTCTGTAATGGTTTTAAGTGACCTTAGGTACGCGAATACATAAAAAATTCTTCGAATAAATTATTTTATAGTTTGATATTATATTATATTTAATACCTAAAAATTCTGTTTTGGTAAACAACTATTTTATATGGTTTTTCTTAAATTGAGTTACATTTGTAAATAATATCAATTTGATATCCTTTATATATTAATGAAAACGTTTCTCTCATTTAACCACATGTAGCACAATAACGATTTCAATATTCAGGAAGCATGGTAGATCACATTTGGTCAGTATAGATGGTCATTGAAATTGGCAAAATTTGAAATAAAAAATATAAGTTGTATTTATACTCATGTCATTGGACTCTATGGTAATTTGTTTTACCAACAAAAAAACAAAAAAAGGAAAAAAGAGAAACAATTGAATTATTGAAGAACTATAGAATTTGTTTCAGGTGGCGATAACTCTAATTTTCATAATTGATTGTTTTATGAAGAAAAACAAATATTTTAGAAGAGCTATTGATTCATATTTTATTTCAAACTAATGAAGATGTCACATAATTAGGTATTTTTGGATGTTATCTGTATAGATAAGAGTATGTGCATATCTTACATTAAATCTAAATAATTTCATAATATCAATAGTGGAAGTTACCTTCGTAGAATAGTATACATATGTCCTACAAAAGAGTAAATTAAGATTACTGTTTGAATTTCATGGGATGTTCACTAATTATATAGCCAGAAAAAAGTTTGACCTTGATAAGTACATTACATTAGACATAGATTACACTTTTCGAGGTATTGTATTAAAATAATCTAAAGTCAAACATCCTTGTTTTATGTTAAGCCAATGAGATTTCGTTAAATAGCATTTATTGTAGATTTGGGAAAAGTCTAAACTCGGTTTTACAGGGTTAAGGTAAAATCGATTAAGCCGCATCGAATGACTATTTTATTGGTGGTAGTCGTAAAATATGAAGATTTTGTTTTCGTTGAAAAAACAGTAGTTAAATTTTATTTTTATGTTTATTTTTGTATAGTGACATATGAATGGATTACTTTTTTTGAAATCTCAAAAGGTAGAATACTTGTACATATGGCCGAACAAAATTGTGTGTTTTTTTTAGTTGGAAATTTTAGAAATAAGGGTTTCTTACTAGTATAATGGGAAATAAAGTGAATTCAAGATAAATACGAGGTAACTAAATCAATTCCTGTTTTCTGTTTAAGATACATTGTAAATAACAAAAAATAAAATAGATATTGGTAAATAAGATAAATATTAGATAAATTCATAAATATATTGTTGCTATGAAATCATTGCGTCTTGTATTTTCATGTATTAATATCGATTAGTTTTATTTATACGAATTTAAAATTTACAGGTCCAAAATGTTTCATTAATTTTTTCCGTATTTGAATTTATTTTTGTAATTTAATACAAAACAAAAATGAGGCGGAAGAAACCAAGGGCACATTGAAAACTCATAAGTCGAAGATAAACTAACAACGCCATGGCAATAAAATTTAAAAAAAACAACAAAAACCAAAAGAAAACAAACAAAAACCAAAAAAAACAACAAAAAAAACCCCAAACAAACAAATCTATAAAACACTACACAGAAAACCAAAGATTGAGCAATATAAACCTCTCAAAAACCTGGGGTGAACTGTCTTGTGCTCTTGTAAGTATAAATATGGTGAAAAGTCTCATTCGGTGATGTCACAATCGAAGAAAAAGAAGACGGCATTGTGTTTACAACAATTGGAACATACCCGTGAACATCTCTGACACATATATTCCATTACGGTCAACCAACTTGCAAGTAAGCAACCTCATCAGGGGTTGTTGTATTCGTATGTCTATCACAAACATTTGCGTTGACGGCAGATTTTTTTATCGCTTCTGTTAATTTCATTCACAACTTGTCGAACTCGGGGATACTAAGGGTTCGACGATTGTCGTTTGTTAGAGATGTCATGTGGATCACTTATTTTGAATTACTCGTTGTGTTGTTCTGTTGCTTTAATACTGGCGGATACTCTAAATACCTTTTAATTACTGATTCTATTTTGATAGTTTAAATGGAACTGTATAGAACTGTATAGATATATTTCATAATTATTTATTTTCAGATTCAACTTATTTTAATGGACATGCTGTTCGTCTTCGTTTTTCCCTCAGAAGGACGTTCTTTACATGTTAGACATTGTCAGCAGCCAGACAATATAGAAGAGGCATTCAATAATCTCAGGAATCAATTAGATCTAACCATACTATCACATACAGAAAGTACAGAAATAATACCATGTCCTTCTCAAACGCGGAGTCATCATGGTGACCCTCAAAGACTGCGCTCTACTTGCCCATGGGTATGGGAGGCAAATTTAGACAACACAAGATACCCACAAAAAATTTACAATGCCCGTTGTATATGTAGGAGATGCATAGGTTCCTCAACTAAATATCATTGTGAATCTATTTTTACTCATGTCAAAGTTTTCAGAATTCTGAACTGTGTAAATGGTTTACTGCGATACGTTCAAGATGAACAACGTGTTAGTGTAGGGTGTACATGTGCCCATAAAAGAACGCAACATAATTCATAGTGAAGTGTCAGAGACCCGCAATTTTACGAAGATATAGAGAAGACAGACAGCATAAAATTTAGTATAAAGTTTAATAGGGCAATGTCATTTCTTCTAGTCATATCTCCGGGCACTCAGGCTTCCGCCTACAACAAAACACTGACCGCCAACAGTGCTGAAAGTGGCGTTAAACACCAATCAATCAATCATTCTAGTCATATCAAATTTCATGTTATGCAATGTGATTAAAACACACATTATGCGTTCACGCTTTGCTTACAATGATCTTACATCATTCCGTTCTACTTTCTGTTCTGGTAATTTTTAGATAAGCCCTTCTATGTTTTGAAAGTGTGTATCATTACGATAAAACAAGAAGATTACGAATGATCGTTAAAACGGAAGGTAGAATGGAACGTTCTCAAATTGCATGAAGAAGCCTCAACAATCTCATTACAATGCAAGCATTTTAGCATTTATAAAAAGTTTCATATGGTGTATTATTACAAAACTAAAAAAAAAATGTTCCATACATTTTAAAACTACTGTCTTACTCTTTTTTTCAACTGAATATTCCGATATATTTCAACATGGAACATTATTATATTGAAGAAAAAAACATGACTGAAGATAAAAAATTATTTGAAATATAAAAATAAGAAGATATGATATGATTGCAAATGAGACAACTCTCAACCAGAGACCAAATGACATAGAAAGTATACATGGGAAAAAACATTCACACAATTTATTAAACGCCAAATAATAGAATGGGCGCGTTCAAGTGTTGTGTAATACCATTCTTCAATATGGTATCTTAATGTTACTTTTATCATTTCTATTCGGTGGTGTCTCAAATGTTATTTTCATTGTGTTTTTTTGTGATTATCTTTAATTTATTGTTTTGTTTATGCCGGTGCTTTTCATGTATTTTTTTTTTAACTTGTTGTTTTATGGCACTTAGATGTGAGTGTCCATTATGTTATTTTAAATTGTTTTGTATTTACTTCTTTGTTGATTTCTATGATTTGTTTAATTGTTTCTCCACATATAAATATTAAACGAGAATATGGTTAATTTATTGTAAATTTAGTTTATTACTGTCGAGCGACGGCATGCCTATTTGAAAAATAAAAAGTCACTAAAAGACAACCAAGAAACTATAAGTCAAAGAAAGACCATCCCATGACATGCGCGATGGGTACTACCGACGAAACAGGAACTGATTACCCCATTGAGATACCTGGTTCCGCCCGTTTTTTTGGAAGTTTATTTTTGGTTGAATTGCTTTTATTCCGTATGCTATTATTTTTCTGTTGACTATTGTGTTGTTGGTCTTTGAAATTCGACCACATTGAACTTGAAATAAAACATACTTCAAATACAGATATGCTTTATACCTACTAACACCCAGAAATCGACATTGAAGGTCAATTGAGAAATACCTTATTATCCTAATGTGGACTCACCATTTAACTGAAGCAACATCCAAGCAGCACCTCGATATATAGTATAGTAGTATGCAAGTGAGGGTCAATTAAGAACTTAAAGTTTACAAGATAGGTTGAATATTGCTCTAATATAAACTTTCCATTTTAATAAATGAACATTCCAGCAATAACTCGATAAGGAGTATATATATCAAATCTTGCGTTTCCTTTTGGGATTTCCCTTTCAAGGAAGCTAATAAGCAAGATGTGCCTGATGGACAGGTTCTTTTCTCATTGACAATATATTTGTTGCATTTTGATGTAGAATTTCTTGCAAGTTGTCGGTATACCTATGTGAACCAACTGTCCTCGCCGATCTTTTCTTATTCGCATATGAGTTGGATTTCCGTCAGACACTTGTAAAAAAAAACAAGAAGATTAAATAGGCTAGATCATTGAATTTCACATACAGATATATTGATGTCCTTTCCATTAACAATTCAAACTTTTCTGTTTAGGTCCCACTGATATATCTTCATAAACTAGAGATTGAAGAAACACAGATATAGCTTCTCCGCTTCATTTTTTAGAAAAATACCAATAATTTGACTACAGCGGTCATCTCAGTACCAGAGTTTATAACAAACGAGACGATTTTAATTTTAAAATTATAGATATTCCTCACCTTAGCAGCAAAACTCAAACTTCATCCGTGTATAGAATATACATTTCTCAACTGATACGATAATCTAGACCTTGCAGCTGCTACTCAGACTTGTAAGACGTCGGTGCCTGAGCAAAAAAAATAATGAACTATGGTTTTATCAAAGAAAGTCTCATCCTTTGTCTCGAAAAATTCACCGTAAAGTACCTAACAGATAAATATTCGGTGTCTACTTCTCAAACAATACTGGATGGCCTTAGTTATAGATTCTATGTGCTGACGTAGGGTATCACTTTTTAGGTGGCACCTTTGACAAATTTATTTGCATATTTGCTTTTTTAATTGTGTTGTAATTCTGTGCATGATGTTTGTTATACATTTTTGGCTGCTGGATCCCAATTATTTTCATGTTAACCAATATGATTGTTTGGGTTGCTCTCCCTATTTTGTAAATATAACGGAACTATAAACAACTGTCATACACATGGGCGGTTCAGCTAGCTGTAAAACCACCATTTTCTTCGAAAAAGTCCTGTACCAAGTTAGGAATGTGACAGTTGGTTGATTTAATCAAGCGTTTGATTTTGTCAGGTTATATGGATTTCCCTTTTTTTTTATTTACCTTGGATTTCGGTATTTTGTAATCACTTTTTTTCTTGCCTTTGGAAGTTTCATGACGTCGTCATGACTTTAATAAAAAACGGCTATGAATAACAGGTAGAAAAAAACAGGCGCGGATCAAGCGATTTTGAAAAGGGGGGGATTCAAACCCCCGGCACACCATGAAACGTTCACATGATTAAGAAAACAAAAATTAAAAAAAGGGGTCCCCCCTGGATCCGCCAATAAAATAGTACCTGTGTTGATGAAAAAGAGGCAACAGTAGTTTACCGATGCTCAAATCTCGTAAATTTATTTTGAATTTACAAATGATAACTCGAGAGATTTGAATAAACTCCAAACAGAACCAGACCGGTTACGTCATTAGAGCAGGCGTCTCCGATGTAAATAGTAAATCAAAAAACAAAATCCAAAGGGGAATGCAATATACGGTGGACAAATTAAATAAAAAGACTACTGAATATAAAAAAGACGTATACAAACAATCAACTATTAACACGAACTATCTTAGTACGGATGAAAAGTGCTAAAATCGGAACATTATCGGGTCCTTTTGAAGGGTAAACACATCCTGCCTCACACGCGAAACCATCAGGACAATTTGATCATACATCAAAGTACTTTTATTCACTTTGCATAGGCACACAAATCTTTTTTTCCTGCAAAAATTCATTGTACTATAATAATAAAGGTATGTAAACAAACTTCTGCAGATTTAGTCCACTATACAAATATCGTTTCCAGGTAACCAGCCTCTATGATTAGTAATGAGCATGGACAAAATAAAATTACTGTTAAAGTAACTGTTCATATTGGTGTCCGCTGTCCGAGTGCAAATAATGTTAAATACTTTAGTTTTGAGAATACGATAACATACTTTCTATCTTCAGCTTTTACAAACCAATACTTACCAGTTAGTTTATTTTGGACCACGACCAACCAATCGATTCGATCTATCTAAAGATTTCCCGATTTGGCCAAAAATCAAATAATTTTCATATAGACTTCGTTCACAAATAAAGCAATTAATAAGAAACTAAGGTTCCAACTGCATCAGGCATTGTTGACCTTAGATAAATTTGACTAAATTTAGCTCCCTATAGCTGGTCATTATAGCTCGACACGTGTTTAGGTCATCATATATATCTTTGGCTTTCAAATGTCTGATTTTGAGCGTTACTGAAAAAGATAAATAAAAAAGAGTTTCGGACGCATGAAATTAATAGTGTTATTTTCTCAAACTAATAATGGGTCGATAACACTGCTGGTGAACTATAAGTCCCAGAGAGTATCATGAACTTAGTAGTCATTGCTTCGGTACTGACATGATTTATAACAAACTTATATTAAATTACCCGTTGATAAATTAAAAAAATTAAGAAGCTGAGGTTTCAGCTCCTTCAGGCAAAGATGAATTTAGCTTTAGTTTAGGTCCGTTTTTGTCATATAGCTCTTTACGGGTTTAGGTCTTATTCATCCTGGGCTTTCAAATGTTTGGGTTTCAGCATTCCTGATAAAGTCAAATCCAGAAAAACACTTCGGACGCACGTTATTCATAGTGCTATTTTCATTTACTTTATGGTATTAGTTTTTCTCGTTGTTCAAGGCCGTAGACACACTTGGCATTTAGTGAATACTAGTTGTCTCAATTGTACTTTGATACTTAGATTCACATCGCTTAACGAATTGATTAACAATGATTAGTGAATTATGGAAATAGTCCCTTGACGCTAGGCAACACATAAATCATTTTCATATAAAATTTTCCTTAAAAGAGAAATAACTCTAGCGCATATTACAGCCAAGCGATGATTTAACATGTTTTCGGAATAACCTTCATAAAGATTAAAATCAAAGCTTTGAAAAGGCAAATTATAAATCGTTTGAGAGCATAAAAACCAAAGGTCCTAAACAAAATTGCAAAAAACAACTAAGATCAACTCTGTCTGAGAGAGGTACAACCTTAGTTTTTTTCACTATAACACAATTTTAAGAACTGGAAATTAACACACAAAATCGAACCACATAAATGCAATCAAACCGAACCATTTGCTATGGGAAGATGGTTCTTTAGGGATGATGATAGTCTATCAGCAACGGCAACAACCAAGTGGAAGTACAAACGTTAAATATGATATCCGTGCGAACAACATATGTTTTGGTTTGGAATAAACTTCCTAGTGTATGCTCGAGACCCAAAACATATAAAACGTTTTAAAAAAGAAAATCAAAAGGGTCTAGGATCACAACCGTGTAAAGTCAAGTTTTCCTTAGTTGGTTTATTACACGGTTGACAAACGTTAATC